CGCACAAGAAAAGTGGTGTAGTTTTCCAAACACCTGGACTTTATTTTACCCGGAAATAGAATAGAATTCAACTTTATTGTCATTGCACATGTCACAAGTACAAGGCAAGAAAATGCAGTTTGCATCCATCCAGAATAGGGCTGCCACGATTAGTCGACTATCAAAATCGTCGACGACTGATTTAATAGTCGACGCGTCGTTTGAAGCTTTGTAAGATCACAAAAGACGCAGGAATGAGTAGTAGGATTTAAGAGTGTAATAACGGACTGAAACAGCAGATGGCAGCACTGCATGTACAAGGATGCCAGCTGCCGTTAAACCCCGAAGAAGAAGAAACTGTGTCCCAGAATTCATAGCGCAGCCCAGCTCAGTTTCCAACAATGGTGGCAGCTAGTTAGTTTTAATATTACTCTTATTATTCTTTCTGGGTCACAAAATAAACGTTTAACATATTTTCAGGCGAGAATGTAGCTGTGTAAACCTCAAATATCTGCTCAGTTTATCAAGACACCACATATTTTCAAAAGCGCTCCGACGTTTTCGGAGACGTCTGTTACCCACTAGCTCGATAGCTAGCCGGGGGCTAGGCTAACTAGAGCCGTGAGAACACCGGACTCCCGGCAAATCGTTTTCAAACCCACGGCCGTCTTTCACTACTCAGGTTAAACATGATATATGAGTCACTTAGATAACTTCAAAATGTTATTGTTTGGCTTTTTTAGTATTTTATTTGTTCCTGAGTAAATCGGTTTGGCTGAGATTAAAGTTATAATTTTTACACAGCTGAATACACATCAAGCAGACAGCTGATTATCAGAAGTGTGAGATGCTCCAGAATTTACTCCGGTGTCCTGTTATATTTTAGATAGCAAGGAGTTTATTAAACTTCACCGAAACAATCTGCAAATTTCATTAAAATTTAATAAACTATCATCTTGTCTTTATTTTTAGTTAGCACCTTAAACACTTCAAGCTGTAAGCTAATGATAGTTATATAAGAGCAGATGCTGCTGGTGCAATAAGCTGTAGTTTTACGTCCAATGGATGATGATCTGATTAGTCGACTAATTGCAAAAATAATCGGTGACTAGTCGACTATCAAAATAATCGTTTGTGGCAGCCCTAATCCAGAAGGCAATATTATAGCTCTATTACAAAAATGGGTCTATTATGGGTATGTTGCAATGTACACGGTATGAAGGTATTTTATGCATAAATAAATAAATGCAAAAACAATATTAGAAATGTTAAAACCAACAGTGGTGGGCCCTTAAAAGAAGTCAAGTAAATTGAGTTGCAGTAAGACTCCAAAGTAACATAAGGATCAAGACCTGTTCCAACAAAGAGGAACTCAAATACTGATGAGATCAACACTAACACACGACGTCATTAAAGGAAACAAAGGCAGCAGTTGGTTAAATCTGATTGTGGTGTTGATGAGCACTGTTAGGTTTGGTCAAAGGTATCGGTGTAATACGAGTTAGGTTAGGCTTCCTTAATACTGGCCATGGGTTGGATGCAGTGAAGTAAACAAACAAAGAGCAGTAAACCTCAGAGTCCGCACAGCTCAGCTGATCTCACGATTTTTATTCAACTTATCTCGAAGTCAGCGTGTAATTCCCTCTTTGGGTTCTCTGTCCTGCCAAACACAATTAACAATCGTTTTCCTCCTTAGAATCAGTTTCAGTTTAAGTGTCTCACCTGCAAGGCGAAATCTCTGGTTTTTAACTTTTTAAATAAGCATCCTCCATTAAACACCTGTTATTGCAATAAACTGAAATTAACGGTTTCCTAGTGTTTACATATTGATTCAGAGGCTCCTGAAAGCAGTCCAAGTTAAACTGGTTTAACTAGAGGAGATGCTCCAGCTAGCCGCATGCTAACGTTAGCTCTGGTCTTACCGACAGGTTTATGTCCGATCATCGCGTGGAACAGGCACACCTCCACCTCGTGGCTCCACACCACCGAGTCCTCCCCGGGAGCCAACGCCGAATCCGGCGGCTTCTCGTCGGTCTGGTTCAGCGTCACATCAGCTTCTCCCATTATTAAGGCAAAACCTAAAACTGGCCAGAAGCAGACGACCGTGCTCCGTTAGCATCGGCAACCGGAAACGTAGTAAGACTTCCGGGTATCGGATTTCAAGATAAAACGACAAAAAATAGCCAGAGTGGAAAAAAATTTTAAAACCGAATTTTGAGGTAAATTCATTTATTTGTTTTTAACAAATTCCAATATTAATCCTACACTTACAGTTTCAGTGACCGTCAAAGTTTAATGATAAACGGTCCGTTAAAACGCCACACAAAGATGGCTCTAGAATTTTCTCTTACAAGTGTTTGGCACAGAGACACCTCAGAAAAGTCAAGTTTGTTCCCCAAATCTAGTAAATAATTCAATAAAACTAAGTAAAAGTGTCTAGGGACCTAAAAGACATTAAAACTGCTTTCGTTTGAGGAAGTCGCAAAGAAAGCGACTGGACTTACGTTTCTTTCCAAGCCAGACACTTTACTGTTTTAATTTTACTAGAGCATCAGAGATAGGATTATTTGTATTTTTTGGCATCAACATTCAAATTTATGTTGAACAATTTTATTTTCCATGATATTTCCATATTTTTAAAGCCTCAAAAGACAAATTTAAAACCAATTTATCAGTGAGTTTACCATTGTCAGACATCAGATTTAAATCAAATTACAAGCCTCAAATATATTATCTCCCCAAATTAGGAGTTTCTCAGGGATCTATTGTAGCTTCTCCGTGGTTCTCAAAACAAGACAATGTAGTTTAGTATATGTATAAATGCCCAAACAAATGAACTTTGTCGTGATAATTAAAAAAATGCACTTTTTCAGGTGCTATTTTGCCAAGTAATTAAATTGTTAAGCACTAAATCTTTAAAGGTGAACATACAAGCAGTGGATGAGGAGTCATAGAAGCAGCCAGACTCAAAGGTTATGCTTCTCTATGCGGTGATCAAAACACCAAAAGGTTTATTGCAAATAAAACGGATACAGTTGGCGCCGTAAAACGGCCGCCACCACAAATACAACCAGAGAGGAAGAAAAAAAAACAATTTCAGGTACATTATATTTAAAATTAAGTGGCTACTGAACTTCACTGAGCTGAATAAGAGCATTTTGTTTTTACATTGATACAAAACTGCGCATCTCTTAATAAAGCATCCATAACAATCAATAACATTGAGAGTATTAACGTGAGGCCGATTATGTCCAGTTAGGCAGGGTTTTTCCAAGCATCCGAAAACTTTGTACTTCTCTGCAACTGCATATGATTTTATTTAAAAACAAGTTAGGAGCGTTTTCCGTTTAAACCTTTACTTTGAAACTCTGAATTACATTAAATTGCAGTTGTACTTGCATTAGGTTAAGATAAGATAAGATAAGATAACCTTTTTAAGCTCACTGCTTATCCCGTGGAAACGGTTGTAGGATATGTTGACATTATGGGAAATGCAGTTTCAAGCAGCAGATTTAGGAAATGAACCTGTAACACAGGCCAACAGTCACGATGTCTCCGATTCTGCTGAATTTTTTGGCTATTTTTCTGAGTTTGATCCTAGTTTGAGGATGCTTTTGTAAAACACCCTGTGACACTTTGCCTCCTGGGCTCATTCTCACTGCTTATCAAACGAAGAAGCCACGGAGCTCCTCCCCTTGCACCTTTTCACCAATAAGGTGTGAGAATGATGCCTCTTGCTGGGCAGTGAAGGCAGTTCAGTCTGCCGCCGCCTCCTTTTGCTCTTCTCCTCTCACAGGCCAGAACTTTAAGACTGAAAACCAAGAATCCAGTTTTTATTTATCCAGACAGGAAAAAGTTCACCTGTGCAGCTGATTCAATTCCAGACACACTCCAACTGAAAGAGACAGCAAGGAGCGAAATTAAGGGAAAATATTTTGTACCTTTAGTTTCTAACTACTTTTTGTCATCATTATTTATTTATTACGAGTGGCTGCACTGCAGTATTCACACCTGGAGCTATAACTAATTATTCTCACTAAAGAACCACAGTTGGAGTTCAAGTCGCCCCCTCGTTTTCAACAAAGAAATCCAAACTGTGCTTTTGGTTTCTAAACATTTTCCACAAAACCACACTGGCATTTTTCCGTCACCACAAAAAGTGTATCTGTTACACGTCTGAGCAATAAAGCTCCAGAACCTTCATAAGAGACTGTAAATAAAAGATGGACAGCCACTGTGGCATCAGTGAGGGCAGGTCTGACGTGCTCACTGACCACAGACGGGTCAAACCTGCTGTTTCACATTTAAACTAAGCTAGTGACCGACGCCGTAGACCAATGATTGCTAACGTGTGGGCTGCAGTGATAACAGCAACTCAGTTTTACTCAAGTATGTAAGTTAAATATTTATATAAATTTATATCCATTCATCCTCTTCTGCTTATTGTCAGGTTCACAGGCAGGTTGGAGTCTATCCCAGCTACCATTGGGCGAGAGGTGGTGGTTGGATTGTTATTACTGAGCTAAATTTGCTGCTCTTGTATTCAGTTGTGTCCCAGTGGCAGCTGGTCACACATTGGCCTCAACGCTTTATAGCAAACAACCTGCGTTGTGTTTTTTGAAGAAAAAACAAAACAAAAACTAAATGAATACTTTTTCTTGAATTTCAGAGGGAAGCTTTTAAGACTGGATGAGCCTCGTGGGACTTTGTTGCAGCTCTCTTGACTTTGGGGAAGAGCCATAAACTATTCATCTAACGAATCCAACACATTATATAACTGGAACTCTTTCATCTTTTATAGACGTGTCTACGATATTAGCTGTCATCTGTGCACCAATTCACCTCCAATTTCCTAATTCCAAAACAAACCAACTACTTGATCCTCGTCAGGAACAGGAACCATATTTTAGGTTAAACCTATAATACTCGGACTGTTTCTACTTCCTTTCTCCGCCTCAGCTGTACGGCCCTACGACCTACAGCTGCAGGGTTTAACTTGAAGCCACGTTAGCACCACAGGCCTGATTGGAAAGCAGATTTATTTTCTGGCAAACAGCTGGACAGACAGGGAGAACTCACATGTACAGTCAGCATGGAGACAAGTGGATGTAAACACAATACAGCTTTAACAAATGACAACATAACTGTATACCTAAAAAACTGAAACCGTTTCCCTCTTAAAATTCTGGCCTATTATAGAAACAAATACAGATAAAACCAGTAGAAGCAGCTGATGCTGACGGAGCAGACGGCAGTGTGAGCAGCGCCTGGTGAGCGGAGACACCCGGAAACAAAGAACCACATCTGGAGAGTTCCCACGCCTCCAGACTTTTTTACAGGATCAGATTCTGGGGATCCTCACAATCGTCAGCGGTTCTTTGTTTGAGGGTTTCAGAAAAAAAAAAAAGGAGTAACAAACAAGAAAGAAAATGGCAGCAGCGCTCGTTTTTCCGTCCGACTCGTCCACGCTCGAGGCCACGTAAAGGCTAAAACAAGCGCTCCTTCTCGTTTCTCTGCCTATCTGAGCGGCGAGCTGCAAACACACGATGAGATCCGATTGGACAGGTGTTCCCTGACACGCCACTTCGTGGTCCTGTGCGAGAGGATTCGTGGTAGGCACCGGGTCCCAAAACGACTTCTAATAATTACAAACATCATCGTTGGCAGCGCGACGGCAGTCGTAACCACGGGTAACAGTCGGCGGCCGCTCCCGTGGTTATCAGAGACAAACGCGTTGGCAACATGAGCCCCGTTTCCCCTGGCTGACAAGCTGGAGAGACTGGAGGGGGCGGGGCTTCAGTGAAATGTGGTGGCAGCAGGCTGATGATGAAAAGTGTTTGAAGGAGGAGGGAGGGCAGGGGGTGGGGCGACAGGGATATTATTGGTCCTTCTTCTCTGATTCTGTCGCTTCCTCTTTAGTCTCCTCAGATGACTCCTCATACCTGAAGAAGAGAAGAAGGACGATGTTAGTGTTTCACGAATATGAATCCAATGCTGCAGTTCCTCTAATGGCCTCTGGAGGCTCAAACACCCCGATTCAAACAGTTTGGATTCTCGCCATTCTCCACCTTAAAACAACTGAAAGGTGAGCGATCGCTTTTCTAATAAATCACCCATTTGGATTTTCTCGAGGCCTAAAGTTACGGGTGCAGCTGTTTGTAAAGATCGGTGGAACAAACAGTATCATCGTGTTTCATTTCTCGGTTAATTAGCAGCGACCTGTGTCTGTGCACTGCACCTGTCTGCTTTACCAGTGCTAATCAAGCTAACAACACCCCACCTTTGGTCACCTTTGGATCAGCTGAATTTTTCCTCCTTCATGATTTTTTTAATGCTATAAAAGGTGAATCTGATGGAGCGATGGTTTCATGTAGGCAGGTTAATGGGCTCATTAATGGGCTTTTTACCTGCCCAGGTGAGACAGAAGGGGACAGTAAAGATAGAGGGGCGGGGCTTCTACATCGAGGTGGGTTGTAATCTGCGGTGGCGCGGGGAGGAGCCTGTCGCCACAGAGACGGCATCCATGGAGCTAGCCAGGCTTGCGGGAGAGCCGCTGACGGTTGGAAAGGAAGTAAGTCTGGGAGAGGTGGGAAGAACTTCCTCTGAAGACTCATAGCTAACCACGGGGGGGGGGGACACGGGGAGCAGAGGAAGGAAATGGAGACACAGAGGAGATAAAAGAAAAATACAGAGAAAGAAAAAGGAGATGATAAAAGTAGTGAGAAAGAAAGGAGGCAACGACACAGTGTGGTAAATCATCTTAAACTCTAAAGGTCTAAGTTACTATAGAGCTCTACTGCCGTGCCAAACGAGGAGGACGGAGGATAAAGACCGACCGGAAAGGTGGAAGAAGAGAGGTGGGAAAAAATGTAAGAGAAAGTACAAAACAGACATGGGAGCAGGGAGTGAAATGATGAGGTCGATGAGCAGGAGACCCTCAGTCTGCTGACAGAAGCACCTGAACATACAAAGGAGCCGTCATAGACTCTGCATTTAACATGGAAACGGCTGCTCGGAGAACCTCGGCGGTTCCTGCAGCGCAGACTAAACTCCAGACAGAGATCCTTTAAAAACTGAGCAGGTGCTCCTGTTTTTAAAACACTATCATTAAATCAGGCCCCGAGGTTTCAGTCTCTCCTCCTGCACTGGAGTGTCTGTGCTGAAGTCAAGGTCCAAATCTTATTTATTCTTAAATGAAACAAAGAAATGTGGTTTAGCAGACGTGCACTTTGGTGCATTTAATAACAGAAATGCTTCAGTGTCATTGGTCGATAGATCACACTTTTAAATTTTACATTATACCCGAAGAAAAAAGAAAAGAAAGAAATCTGTCCAATCACAGAGCTTCATTCTGGAATAAACAGCCAATAGGGTTTCAGCCCGCCAGGCATGAGATTCTGAACCTTTAATCCACTAAACAAAGAATCCTCATGAGTCTAATTTCAGTAATTACAAATAAATCTCTCAGCTCGTTAATTTTAGTGCAAACGTATGTTCAGACTTCAGAAACATGTTTTCCTGCTAAAACAAGCTCGGCCCTGCTGCCTCACCGTGGTTGGTCACCGTGGTTACTCACCTGAACATCTCTGTGAGCTCTCCTTTGAACAGCGCTATGATGACGGGGAAGCCGACGCAGGCGGGCACCAGGTACAGCAGGGCGGGCTGGACACACAGATTTAACAGCTTTTAACGTCCTCAATCATTAAAACTGAGACGGGCAACATCATCGGGTCTTTTTTATAAGTAAATGATAACTGTAAATCCTAAATACAGCAGCACAGCATTTAATGGTGTCTTTCCCTTGTTTGGATGTTGGTCTGTAAATAAATAAACTGCACAACAACAAACAGCCGTGAGCGACGAGTAAATCCTTAAAGCTTTATTGGCTGCGGCTTCTTAAACACACCCTGTGCAAATTTAATACCTACAGCAGATTTTCCAGAAAATTAAAACTTCAGACTTTTCACTTAATAAGCTGCTCACAAAATCAGACTTCATGTTTGTCCCAGTTTTAATAAAGCCAACGTTTAGTCCGCCTCCAGGAAACATCAGACTCCACGTTAAACAAAAGGACGGACGCTGAAGTTAAAGGTCCCGACCAGTGAGAACACAGAGTCACTGCAGCGCTTCATCAACCTCATGTTCTTGGCAATTATCAGTTGTTTAAATAAGAGGAAAAAAGAGAGCAGATTAGCTGACTGTAACTCTGGTCGGTATGACAGGATGTGGTTTTCATCGGCTTCACATGGGGAGCTTCAGGGTCCCAGAGGTGGTTTAAACTGGAAATTCGAAGCTTTACTGCACTGATGATAAAAGGAACGACGCAGGAACACAAAGGTCCCAACCCTTAAATCGGAGCCTCTCTCCTATTCAAAGCTCTCTGGAAATCTCCCCGACAACATTCAGCCTGGCTCGAGAGCAGACTAAAGTCTGTATTCTGCTTGAATAAATTAGACTGAAAGGAACAACAGCAAACAGAACGCAGGAAGAACTGGGGGATACACAACGAATCGAATTTTAATCTCGATCACGAGTTAGACTAAATTATCAAACGATGCGGCGTTTGCTAACGTGAATCGTCCAACATGAACTCAAACGCCCGTAACTGCGAGTCCTCAAAATGAGCTGATGCGACTGGCTGCAAAGAGGCTGTTTTGAGCAGAGACTGAACAAAACAAAGTTGAGAAGAATGATTGCGCGTTAGGCCTCGTACCTGTGCATGTTTGAAGGTGTGCATGACAAAGATGGTGAGGCCCAGTCCAAAGATGTAGGCCAGGAAGCTGGAGTAGAAATACGTCCTGCTGTTTTTATTCAAGCTGCAGGTAGAAGACGGTTTCACATGAAAGGGAATAAAGAACATTCATCTTGTTTAAATCCCACAAATGAGAGAAAACAAAGGAAACGAGGCAGCTGAGAGGAAAGGACCGAGTGTTACCTGACATCGAAGCGCAGCAGCAGAGCGATGAAGATACCCGGGATGACAATGTCTCCCAGTCCCAGCATGGCAAAGTTACTGGCCTCCAGACCTTTCTCCAACAAGTCCTGTGGAAACACCACTGCAGTGGAGCAAAGACGGGTGGGGGAGATCACAGCAGGACAGGTCAGCTGGGTGAAGTCTATGAAGAGCAGGAGCTAAAACTGACTGACACGGTCATACACAGCACTTACATTTGATTGGTGCTTCAAATGACTTGGCAACAGTCACCATGACGTTGGTCCCAAACACCTGGAGACACACAGAATAAGGATGATGTACAGCTGTGTTCATGCTGGGTCATTGTTGGAACATCTGGATTGTGTCAAAGTGCTGAAACTGAACATCTGGACATGACAGAGCTGAGCTCGAATCTTCTGGAACGTTTCCGTACGACTACCTGAGCTGGACACGTGATCTACTCACCCAGAAGACGTCGTAGATGAACAGCCCCCCCAGCAGGATACAGCCGGTGCTGACGTTGTTCAGGTGGAGCAGCTCCACTCCGTTCAGGGCAAACGCCAGCCCGAACAGGTTATTGGCTATCCAGTGCTGTGATGTCACAATACACACGCACACGTGAGCACAAAATGACGCATCCGAGCGGCTGAGACGAACACATTTACACAAATCCTTTTGTTTTTGAACCCTTTATACAGATGTTGACCAGATGTTCTTTAGTCTCAGCTAAATAAACGAGTTTGGATTCAGAGGTTTTATCCTCATTATTCTTTAAATAATAATTAGAAGCCAAAAGTGACGCTGACAGCAGGCTTCGATCGCATTACAGATTTCAGCTCTATGTCACAGCGTGGAACATCATTTCTGATGGAAATAATTAGAGCTTACATTTTATACCATCTGTCGGAAAAACAGGAAACATTTTAAAATCTGTCGATTTTCTTTGTTTCACACCGGAAGGAATCAAACATAAGCACTAAAAGCTATTTACTCAGTAAATAACTAATTTGGCATCTTGATGAAAAAACAATAATAATGTGCTTCACTGTTTTTACTGCTTTCATGTAAAAGAGTAAACTGAAAAATTCAAGAACAACAAAAACAAGATTTTAACACCATGAACATTAAATATCACTGATTATAAACTTTCACATGTTTGTGGATTAACCATTACTGTCATTTAGGGCTTCATAAATAATTCATTACCCCACAGATCTAAGCTCAGCCATGTTGGAGCTCACAGCTATGCTCAGCTCTGTGTGCTGCACGTGTCGCTTTTACCTTTTTGAGCAGGTACCAGACTCCCACCACGCTGCTGATGAGCAGACACACCAGGTTCTTGGTGTCAAACTCATAATTGACTATTTCTGTAGAGACATGGAGAGACGCAGGTCAGACATGAATGTGAAAGACGTCAGGAGACCTAAATCGGGTTCAAAAGGCCGTTCAATAAACCACATTTATACAGAGATGCTTACAGCTCTGACAGATTCGACCTAATAAACTTTAACCGAGGCCGTTTGTCGCTTCCTCAGTAAACACGATTCAACGAGAAGATTTACTCCAAAACTTTACTCGTGCAGATGAACCTGTACAGCAACATTATCGTCCTGACAAAGAGAAACAACATTCACTGTTCTAAGGTTTTATTCATCAAGACACAATAAACAGATCATGTGTTTATTTACTGCTTCAAAGGGACCTCAGAGGGTAAGTGGCAGCCAGGCGCTGATAGTTAAATGCACTTCATTAAGTGATCATCAGCAACAAAGTCCATCATTCTAAAATTAAAAAATACTGACGGCTGCTAGTGCCATCTGTCAGCCTCCTCCTAGCTCAGGGATGGGGAACTGCAGGCCTCGAGGGCCGGCGTCCTGCAGGTTTTAGACGTGTCAGCTGATGTAAATGGCTAAATGACCTCCTCAACATGTCCTGAAGTTCACCAGAGGCCTGGTAATGAACTGGTCATTTGATTCAGGTGTGCTGACCCGGGGTGATCTCTAAAACCTGCAGGACGCCGGCCCTCGAGGCCTGCAGTTCGACAGCCCGTCCTAGATTCACCTTTGGTATCATTTTGAAACCTACGTACAGAGATTTTCAGACCTCTGAGGTCACTGAGATTCTAACTCATTCGAGATTAGTAGCTGCACCTTTGGTATGAATTTGAAAATACTGCGTTGCCTCGTTCCTGAGTTATCGCATTCAAACTCGGGTCGTCACCTCGGCCCATCCACCCGTAAAAATAGCCTTTTACAGGCGAGGAGGGCAACAATTATTCATCTGAAAATTTTCCATGTCAGACTCTACAGGGCCCAGTTAGCATGTTAAAGGTTAAAGTTCATGACAGCACAGTTAGAAAAAGAAAGCACAGCTTAGGTTAGTGAAGCTTCATCTGAAGGAACGATGACATAATCCACAGCAGCGATTTAATCATCGAGCCGAGCGTGAGGTCCTCTCTATACCAAAGTATTCTGGGGTCAAGCGTGAGGTCGTCTGTCTCATAGCTAATGCTTGAGCTAACATTAGGTCCAGAGGAGGATCCAAGCACAGCAGCAAATCTCCAACAGAATAAGAAAAGAATCACCGTGCAGCAGTGACCCAGTCAAAGTCCAGACCTGAGTCTGAATGAAACTCTGCAGCAGGACTTCAGAGAGCCGCGCATTCACGAAACCCCACAAACCAAAGACTGGACTAAAATTCCTTCAAAGCGATATGCAAAACAATTCACTTCCTCTGGCATCTTTGCCGTGCAATACTTTAAGAATTAAATCGGAGCAATAAACAGTTTGAACACGTTTTGGGGTTTTTTGTGTGAAACAAAAACATTTGCCTGCTCTTTTTAGGAATCTGGGTCTTTTAAACTGTATTTTTAAACTGTGTTTGTTCCCGTCGTTGGGGGGGGACGGGCGTGGAACGGGCAGCAGGTCTCACCTTCTTTGGACTCTCCGGAGCCCTGAGTGAAGAGCAGCTGGTACTGTTTGTTTGGGAAAGATGCTGGGAAGACTCTGGACATCAGAGGACTGAGAGACAGAACCAAGAACAGAGTCGAGTCACCTCCAACATCAGTTAAACCAAAGCGATTCACTCGCACACACATTCACGTTCTCTGACGTACCTCATAGTGTGAGACAGAGCCAGGACGCCCAGGACGAAGAAGTAGACCGACAGCAGCAGGTTGATGTACTCTTGAGAGAATACCTGCGTCACAGCACACGTCCAGCATCAAAAACAAGCCTCATCTGATGAAATGCACCGTCGCAGCTCTCCCCGAGGTAAGAGACGCCGACTCACCTTGAAGAAGAGGTAGAGCCCAAATAGAGTGCAGCTGGCGATGATGGGGAACCTCGCTGCGTCCCGACTGGTGATGGTCTCGGGCATGTCGGCTGCATTCTGGGAGAAACGGAGCGGAGACAGAAATATGAGCAGGTAAGGTGAAGGTTCACCAGAAGACAGGGATGTGCACACCAATCCAAACACCAGGTGAGACCACACCAAGCTAAAGCTTCCCATCACAAATTTAACCTGAAAGAAGATGAACTAGTTTCCAGACAGAAACCAGTGAAGTTTTAAATGAAGATCATCAATTTTAAATTAGGGTTATATGGACCACAGTTTATGTGTTGTAATGTAACTGTTACTGTCAAGGTTTAACGCCTAAACTAACCCAAATACCGGGATTAACCCTGAGGCCGTGTGAGGCCCTGTGAGGCTCCGTGAGGCCGTGTGAGGCCCTGTGAGGCTCCGTGAGGCCCTGTGAGGCTCCGTGAGGCCCTGTGAGGCTCCGTGAGGCCCTGTGAGGCTCCGTGAGGCCCTGTGAGGCTGTGTGAGGCCCTGTGAGGCTGTGTGAGGCCCTGTGAGGCTC